CTGAGGAGCAGAAGCTGCCGAGACTCCGAGAGAAAGGTAACTGATCATAATAAGCTCATCTTCCTGCTGAGAGTATCTAGAAACGGGAGATACTGTTGTTAGTAAATGTCTAACCATTGACTTGAGATTGTGTGTAATTGACTTGAGATTGTGTGTAATGAAGGAACCTATTATTGGAATCTGAAACCGTTGTTGACAATCACATTCTTTATAAGAAATTATTAATTAATTTCCTTATTACAAATCCCCACCACCATGACTAAGAGATTGAACAACAGTAACATATGTAGTGGCTTTGACTTCTTAACATTTGTTAAAATTGAGCTCCCATCTCGGGTGCCAAGTTGTAAGGGAATTTTGTTATTTAATTTAATGATTAATTGGTACAAACATCCACGTCCCATTCAATTTCCTACCAAAAAAAACCAAAAAATCCTTTGCATTAGTAATATTTTATAAATTGAATAAACGGTTAAATCATAACGGTTTCAAATAATCCTAAATCCTATGTGAATCATCTCCTAACTCGTAATGCCGCTAATTACTGGCTGCCATTTTCCATACTTGTTTCAAACATTCCATTGAATCACGGGAAATGAAGTCTTAACCTGTTGCCACGTGCGCACTTACCGTCTGTATTGTTGAGATACTCCATGCACTGTACACTCTGTATACAGTGTGGAAAAAGACGTATTTCTTTACTGTTGTGTGTTGGTCGTGTAAAATATTACTTGTTTGTCTTATGGTCCTGACTGATGCGACGTAATAATAATAATCCTTCCTTTTGATATTACGCCTTATCACGTCACGATGGCTTAAAGCATTTCACAGGATAGAGTGTAAATGGGTTGATTTTGTATTTTGTGAGTGAACACAGCAGCCAATCGTGCACAGCAATGTCCCACAAACTGCCATGGAGTGAGTGACCAATTTTACTTGCAGGATTCGTTGGCTAGAACACCGGAAGAAACGCCCTTCTCTTTTCAATTAGTTCAATAGGATCTTTAACGTCCACCTGAACAGGCAGACGGGACCGTAGTTTAACATCTCATCCAAAGAACAATGCCTCCAGTAATGCAACAACCCCCCAGCACTGCAGTGGAGTGTCATCTAAGACTATATGATTCCAAGTCCCGCCATGGGGCTTAAACCGACAACATTTGAAAAAAAATTCTGGTTAGCCGGGCGTCTGACATGTGCAGAAACCCATCACCATGCTTTAGAATATCTAAACCAAATTGAGAATTCCATACATTCGTCCAAATGGAAATCCCAGAGTTATGTTTTTGCAATGGAATGCGCACTCCCTCTCTCCCTGGAGGGATGCATCCTGCTTACTTCGAATTCAAGATCCTCATTCTCACCTACAAGGCCATTGACGGCCTTGTTCCCTCCTACCTCTCCGACCTACTATCCGCCTACCTTCCTGCCCGTACCCTCCGTTCCTCTGGCTCCGGTCTGCTCCACATCCCCCGCCCAACCGCCCTACCATCGGTGGCCTTCAGCCTCTCAGCCCCTAGGCTCTGGAACTCCATCCCACAGTGCCTTCGCCGCTTCCTCCCTTTCCTCCTTCAAGGCCGGTCTCAAGACCTTTCTCTTTGACCGAGCGTTCGGCTTGCCTCTCGACTCTCTACCCCCTCCTCGCTCCCTCCCCTTGACCATTTCCCCCCTGCTCGGGTCCTGATCCAGCACCTTGGGACGTCCTTCCGATCTGAAAGGCGCTCTATAAATGGAATCTTGTTGTTGTTGTTACTTAATTCCGGAAAATATTAGGCACATGTTTGCGAGAGCCAAGAGTGTGCGTTGGGGGTAATTGCTGGAGTCTGACCAGCTTCCTCATCAGCTATCTGGCAGACATCTGGTTTCAGCATAGTGGGAGAATGTTTATAGGACAGCTTGTGATGTGCCAGCCACCTTGATTTTCTCGAGGTCCATGTCCAGTGCTGCTTTGAAGACTTACTCAGCACCAGCTGCTTAATCCAGGTCCTCATGTGAGGTGCCTTGGCAAATAGACATGCCCGTTTTGAAGCTGCCTCCCCCTCCAGGGTGCTCGGTGACAGGTCAGTGTAGGCCGGAACCTTCCCTCCCTGCAGCTGTTTCCTACTCACAAACTCACCTCACTGCTTGTTCCTGGATTTTTCAAGTGTTTCGGAGGAAGCCTCTCCACTGTATCCCCAAGTGTTCAGATCCATAAAGCAGGACTGTTTGCACACAGGTCTTATATGCCACAAGTTCACCCCGCATTGGGACCTTGATATCCTTGAAAAGGGATGAGCGACCAGAGTGCCCTTCGTCTTTCTCAGCATAGTCCGTCAGTGTCCAGGGTGAAGTTGGTGTCCACCATGACCCTGAGGCATCAATCAGAATCAACAATTGGGACGGATGCCTCCCGTATTTTCCCATTAATACTTTCGATGTCTTCTCTTGAGCCACGCAAGACTTGGGATCACCCACCAGCATGTCCTACCGGTTTTCCCAATGTTCAAGATGGCGGGTGCAGTGCAGAAGGTACCTAGGTGAGTCCGTCAGCAGCACAAATTTGTCCATCTAATCCCATGGCTTCCAGTTTCATCATGAGGGTCTCATGAGGCATTCGGTCGAACGTCTCGCAGAAGTTGATGAACGCAAGATAGGAAGGTTTCGCCTCAGCTTTGCGGCATTCTGCAATCTCATACAGAGCCACAATCTGTCCCACACATTCCTCATGAGAAGGCAAGCCAGCCTGCTCCTTCCTGATCAAACCGCAAGCCAGTGCAGTGTATAACCACTTTAAGTGCCATTCAAAACTGTGAGATCCCTCTGAAATTATCGATCTTATTAGGGTCACCTTCTTGTGGATAAACACCACATTGCCTCGCCTACAAGGCCTTGCTCCCTCCTACCTCTCCGACCTACTATCCCCTTCAGCCTCTCAGCCCCTAGGCTCTGCAACTCCATCCCCCAGTGCCTTCGCCGCTTCCTCCCTTTCCTCCTTCAAGGCTGGTCTCAAGACCTTTCTCTTTGACCGTGCCTTCAGCTCCCCTCTCAACTCTCTACCACCTCCTCACCCCCTCCCTTCCCTCACCCTGACCATTTCCCCCCTGACCCAACTGTCCAGCGCTTTGGGACGTCCTCCCGACGTGAAAAGCGCTCTATAAATGGAATCTTATTGTTGTTGTTGATTGCACTCTGGACGCTGATCGGGTGTGTGCCTCAGAGAGAATCCTGGTGACCAGTGCTGGGAGACAGCTCCAAGGACAGTTGGGTCATTGAGGCCAAACAGGCCTACGCCTCCCGCCAGCTGTTCCAGCCTCCATGCAGATGGTCTCTGCTACAGCAGGTTGGGACAGACTCTGTGTAACGCTTCCTCCAGACCCCAAGACTCATCTCAACACCCGACTTGTCAATACTAGTACGGGCTCAGAGGGCCTCTCTGGCTTTGACTGACAGACAGATTCACACTCGGCTGCGCTGTCTCAGACACACACACACACACACTGCGCTGGGCTGACACACACATACTGAGCCAGGCTGACACATATACACACACACACTGAGCCGGGCTGACACACACACACACACACACACACACATTGAGCCAGGCTGACACACACACACACACAAACACTGAGCCGGGCTTATACACACCCACACACTGCGCCGGCTGAAACACACGCCCACACACTGAGCCCGGCTGACACAACACACTATGCTGGGCTGACACACAGACACTGTGCTGGGCTGACACACACACTGAGCTTGGCTGACACACACACAAACACACACACTGAGCCAGGCTGACACACACACACACATACACTGTGCCGGGCTGACACGCACACTAAGCCGGGCTGACACACACGCACACACACATATTGAGTCGGGCTGACACACACACACAAACTGAGCCGGGCTGACACACACACACACAACAACAACAACAAGAAAATTACATTTATAGAGCGCCTTTCATGTCGGGAGGACGTCCCAAAGCAGGGCCCGAGCATGGGGGAGGGATGGTGTGGGGTGAGGGAAGGCAGAGAGGTGGGAGGGCGACCAAAGGCACGGTCGAAGAGAAGGTTCTTGAGAACTGGTCTTGAAGGAGGCAAGGAAGGAAACGAGGCGAAGGGACCGTGGGATGGAGTTCCAGAGTGTGGAGGCAGAGAGGCAGAGAGGCTGATAGGCCGGCCACCGATTGTAGGGCGGGTCGGTCGGGAGACATGGAGCAGGCCGGAGCCCGCTGAACGGAGTGAGCGGGCAGGTTGGTAGGGGGTAGGAGGGGGCAAGGCCATAGATGGCCTTAAAGGTGAGGACGAGGATCTTGAACTCGATCGTCTGGGGGATGGGGAGCCAGTGGAGTCGGGCGAGGGTGGGAGTGATGGGGTCACGGAGCTTAGTACGTGAGAATACACGAGCTGTAGAATTTTGGATGATCTGCAGCTTGTGAAGGGAAGAGTTGGGAAAGTTGATGAGGAGGGAGTTACCGTAATCGAGCCTTGATGTGACGAATGCGTGGGTGAGAGATTCGGCAGCCTGAGGGATGAGGCAGTGGCGGAGTCTGGCAATGTTGTGGTGGTGGTGGTAGGCAAGGCCGGTCATGGCGTGGATGTGGGGAGAAAGGACAGCTCAGGGTCAAACAAGACACCCAGGTTTCTGATTAGCTTAGTGAGGTTGAGTGTGCATCTGTGGAGGTTGATGCTGCCAGCGCCTGAGGTGCGGAGGCACTGGCACAAGCCAATCAGGAGGGCCTCGGTCTTGCTGACGTTGAGTTGGAGAAAGTTGGCCCTCGTCCAGGACTTGATGTCGGACAGGCAGTCGGTTAGGATGCCAGTAGTCCTGGAGTTGTGGGTAGAGGCAGAAAGGTAGAGTTGGGTGTCATCCACAAACATGTGGAAATTTACCCAATGTCTGCAGATGATGTCACCAAGGTGGAGCATGTAGAGGGTGAAGAGGAGGGGACCGAGGACAAAGCCCTGGGGAACACCGCACAAGACGGTGCGGGGGCTGGAGGAGAAGCTGTTTTCCGCGACGCAGTGGAGGCGATGTGAAAGGTAGGACCTGAACCAGTCAAGGACAGAACCTTGAAGGTTGAGGTGGGAGGAGAGGCGGTGGAGGAGGATTGAGTGGTCCACCGTGTCAAAGGCGGTCGAGGAGGACAAGGCGGAAGAGGGAGCCCTGATCACACATGGTCAGGATGTCGTTTATGATTTTGGCCAGAGCAGTTTCCGTGCTGTGGGCAGCATTGTTGGAAAATAAAATCAGCCAAATCTGTAAGGAAATAACGCTAATTCCTCTAACCAGATATCAGACTGTTTTATTATTATTCGTTCGTTATTCCCCAATATCCCGATGGGTCAGACCAAAGGCCGGTACAATCAACAGATCTTATAACAGAATAACACCACAAAAGATATCTCGAGTTCAAGAGTTCAACACTGTGTCTTTCCAGCACACAAGCTTGATTCTTCATGCTTTCAGTCTTCTTGCTGACAGCTTTCAATCTTCCTCAATCTTAGTGTTTCTAGTTCTCAGTCTTCCATCTCCGTACCCTTGTCTCCGCAGCCCGGGATGGCCCCATCTCCCGTATCCTTGTCTCTGCGACCCGGGACAGCTCCATTTCCCGTATCCTTGTCTCCGCGACCCAGGATGGCTCCATCTCCTGTATCCTTGTCTCCGCGACCCGGGACGGCCCCGTACACAAAGTTATCGGAACTCTTATACCAATGTTCATCCAATCATGGTGCAGACATTAGATCACCTGGTCGAAATCATGCTGCGTTCACGTGAACATCTCATGGGGTGTACGTGCCTCACACACACAAACACACTGTCCTGGAGACAGTCCGTTATCTCGTGTACGTGCAGGGAGTTTCAGTCCCGCTGCCCACAACACACTTAACTTAAAAGTTAACCCGTTCGCAACATCTATTGTGATTCTAACGTTATACAAAAAGTGTAAATTCTAACAGCTTGGAAACCCGATTCGACGGGTTCATGGAGGGAGTGGAAGGAGAGAAAAGAGCGAGGCTAGGAGGCAACGGTTCTCTCAAGGACCTTCGATAGGAAAGGGAGATTTGAAATGGGCCGGTAGCTAGATAGCTGTGATGGGTCAAGGGAAGGTTTCTTTAGGGTGGGGTTGGTAATGGCTGTTTTGAGGGGGGACGGAGCAGTATCAGATGACAGAGAGAGGTTAATGATGTTGGTGAGTAGTGGAGCTGGGATTTAAGGATAGGGTTGGGGATTGGATCCAGGGAGCAGGTGGTGGGCTTCAAGGAGGTTACAGTGGTGAAGACAGAAGAGGGGATGACAGGTTCAAAGGTGTGGAAGGAGGGATGGGTAATTGTCGGAGTGGGGATAGGGAGTGGTTGGAAGTTGGGGAGTGCAGTGGCAGCTGAGCGGATGCCCTCAATTTTGGACTCGAGGAAGTCCAGCATTTTCTCACAGAGAGAGTCAGAGGAAAGAATCTGCAAAGCGTGGCAGGGAGGGGGAGGAGCCGGTTGGTGGGGGAGAACAGGAGCCTGGGGTTGCCCTTCACCTCCAGTATTAACCTGGAATAGAAGGATGATTTAGCTGAGGCAAGAGCTGAGTGGTAGGTCTTGATAAGGTCCTGCCAGATGTGGCAGTGGACCGTTAGGCTGGATTTGAGCCAAATGCGTTCAGCAGACTGCACCTGGCCCTTAAGCGAGCGGAGATGACTGGTGTACCAGAGTGAGGATCAGAAATAGGAGGCAGTTCGGGAGGTGAGGGGGGCAAGGGAGTCGAGTGTGGTGGAGAGGGTGCTATGGAGAAGAGTAAGTGCTGTGGAGGATTTTGGGGGGCGGTAAAGTAAGAGAATTTTTAGAGAGAGGTGGGAGGGATGGTGGAGGCTAAGGTGTTCGAAAGAGGGGAATGAGCCGGTGGAGTAGGGGGACAGGGCAAGTGAGGCCCTGGAGATGAGGGTCACACCGCCGTCACGACGGTTCGGGCGTGGAGCATGGTGGTAGGTGTAATCGGGTGGTGTGGCCTCAGTGAGGGGGAAGGTGTCACCTGGGGTGATCCTCAGTGAGGGCCATAATGTTAAATGTTCTCATCGGGGATGAGATCACTGATGACCAGGGTCTTGTTGGAGATGGAGTGGACATTTTGAAGGCCAATGCGGAGTGGACAGTTGGCAGGGGGATGTGTGGGATGGGAGGGGGTAGTGGGTTGGATGGCAGGGTGGGTGGGGATGCGGATGAGGGAGGAGAGGTTAGCCCTCGGCGTCTGGTTCCGGGATGGCTTGCAGGGGTAGTGGGGAATGGGGCTGTCGGTGTGGCTGCTGCTGGACAGCCAGCGCCGAGTGCCACAATGAGCCCGGCAGAGGATTCCTGGCTGGATCAGAGGGCGGCAGTGGTCGAGAGGTCAAGCAGAGATAGGAGGTGGGGAGGGTGGAGAGAGAGCAGGACAGAGCGGGATTGTTGCAGGTAGGGGGCATTTTGAGGGAGGGCCAGCTCGGGTCGGGGATGCGCTGGGACGAGAGGCGGCACGTTTAGTGGGACATGGTCAGCCTACAGGAGGCTGTGGGGGCTAGAGTTAGCGCAGAGGGGTGTAGGGTGCTCATTGTGGTTAGCAGTGAGCAGCATGCAGGGGAAGCATAGGGGAGACACACACACTGAGCCGGGCTGACACATACTCTAAGCCGGGCTGACACATATTCTGAGCTGGGCTGACACATACTCTGAGCTGGGCTGACACACGCACTGAGCCAGGCTGACACACACACACACACACACATTGAGCTGGCCTGTCCCACACACACACACAGACCGGCTGATACACACACACAAACTGAGCCGGGCTGATACACACACACTAAGCCGGGCTCACACACTGAGCCAGGCTGACACACACACACAGAACCGGGCTGATCACAAAGAGCCGAGCTGACACACACCCGCACACACACTGAACCAGGCTGACAAACACACACAGAGCCGGGCTGACACACGTCTGAGCTGGGCTGACACATTTATGTGAGCTTTATTATATTACTGGAATCTGAAAATGCTTTGTAAGACATTATCAATTAATTTCGTTATTGCAAATTCCCCAACCAATGACAACCAATGACCGAGAGAACTTTCTAGGTCCGGACCTCTTAACAATTACTAAAATTGGGGTCCCATCTGGGGTACCAATTTGTAAGGAAACTTTGTTATTTAATTAATGATGAAAAAGTGATGCTGATCACTTGAGATTTCGATGTTGAGCACTTAGATGTTAAACACTTGTTTCGTTTATTCCAGCTCAACGGTGAAAGATTATACAACAGAGAATTAAACCACGACTGCAAGGCGCAATAATGGCAGCGACCAAAGTCCCATACTTTAATTAGACAATAATGTGGCAACAGAGAGTGAAGAAGTGGTCAGCGATCTTATCCCTGGGAGAGAGAGCAGTATTTTTTTTGGTCAGGTAGGTGTCTGATACGGGCGGAAACCAATCACTGTGCTAAGAGTATCCAAACCAAACTGAGATTTCCATGCATCCCACTTACACATGGAAATCCTAGAGATAGATTGTTGGATTAGAATGCGCGCTCTCTCCATGGAGGGGAGTATCCTGCCATTGATATTGCTGTCCAGCAAGCTTTCCCGCTGCTTGTCCAGCTAGGACCACCCTACCCATTAGGGTTTTGGCTTGCAGGGTTAACAGGAGCTGAATGGGATAAATCCCTGCCCCCAATGGCTGGTCTGACCTTCCAGGTTCTGCCGATGAGCCAGGATGTCTGCTGACATCAGCAAGGCCCTGGAATACTGCGGATTCACCTAGCTCAGGAACCAGATTACCGAGAACGCCATGGAGGGTTGGCTTGATTCTGACATTCTGCCAGGCATGTCACCTTGGAACCAGTTCAGTTCCCAGGAGACCCTGCTTACCTCCCCTCAAGGATGGAGTAAACAAATGGGAATTTTCTGTATAAGATAAATCACAGTCTTATCTCTTGGGGTTTGGTTCTATCACAATATCAAACAGCTCATGGTGACTGAATGTCTTTAGTACCTTTCAGTAGAGTAAGCATTTTATTTTAACTCCTTCCTTAGAGTCCTTACATGATAGATGGTGTAAATTTGATGAATGTGGAGAGAGGTTTAGAAAGTCAAGGGAGCTCAAGATACAGCAGAGATCACACACTGGAGTAGGTGGTGCCCTGATCGAGTGAAACTCTTTCCACATATAAATGTGTCGAATGTGGAACAAGTTTTACGCGTTCAGGATAACCTCCAGATACACCAACGATCGCACACAGGAGAGACTGTATAGATGTGCTGAAGAGTTTTGCTAGTTCTTATCAGAAGAAAGATCACAAATGATAGCTCACATTACTCTGGTATATATTATAGGACGGTCAACAGACACCTTCTTCCCTGGTTCAGTATCAGCAGCTGGTCCCTTACCAGCAGAATGGGGGTGTTTACTGATTTATTATCAGCAGAATGGAGGTTTATACTGGTTTATTCCCAGCAGAATGGGGGTTTATACTGGTTTATTACCAGCAGAATGGGGGTATTTACCAGTTTATTGTAAATGATTGGTACCTCTCACACCGCGTGCACTTCACTCCTCAAACGGCTTCTCCTCCAGCCCCTCGTGCGGCGTTCCTCAGGGCTTTGTCCTTGGTCTCCTTTTCTTCAACATCTATAAGATCCCTTTTGGTGACATCGTCCTCAGACATGGGGTCAACTTCCACATGTATGCGGATGACACCTCTCTGCCTCCACCCTTGACTCCAGGACCAACTGTTGTCCTGACAGAATGTTTGTTATATGTCAAGTCTTGGATGGGAGCTAACTTCCTTCAGTTGAACGTCAACAAACCAAGGCTTTCGTGATTGGCTCCCGTCAGCGCTTCCTCACTCACCACAGCATCACCATCTATGATTGCACACTCCACCTTGCTAAGCCAGTCCGGATAGTTGGGGTCTTGTTTGACCCTCAAGTATCCTTTCTACCCCACATCTGCACGATGATCCACTCTGTCTTCCCCCACCTCCGCAACGTTACCCAGCTCCGACAATGTCTCACTGTTTCAGGCTGCTAAAATCCTCATACACGCCTTCATTATATCGAGGCTCGACTATGCAAACTCACTGCTTATTGGCCTCACCAACTCCTCCCTCCACAGGCTGCAGATCGTCCAGAACTCTGCAGCCTGTGTCCTCGCCCACACTAGGCTCCTTGACACTCTCATCCTCGCTCGACTCCACTGGCTTCCCATCACACATAGGACACAGTTCAAGATCTTTTTCCACACTCTCAAAGCCCTCTATGGACTTGCTCCCCCTACCTCTACGACCTCCTAAGCCCCTACCATCCTGCTCACTCCCTCCACTCAGCGGGCTCCGGTCTGCTTCATGTCCCCCTTCCTGCCCACTATTGGTGGGCGGGCCTTCAGCCACTCTGCCCCCACCCTCTGGAACTCCATCCCTCAGTCCCTCCACCTCGCCTCCTCCCTTGCCTCGTTCCTTCAAGATCCATCTCAAGACCCTCTTCTTCAACCGTACCTTCGATCACCCTTTTCACCCCGCCCTCCACCCCACATCCTCCCCAATCCTGACCTCCAGCTCAAGTCCGAAACATTGACTGTCCAGCGGCTTGGGATGTCCTCCCAATGTGAAAGGTGCTATAGAAATGCAATTTGTTGTTGTCTGTATAGGAAAGCTAGCCGCAAATGCAAGGATTATCTTTATACAACTTTTTACATGCAGTTTAACTGGAGAGCAACCTGATGGTGAGATTTTACTACAAATTTTACGGCCCAGTCTGTTATTCACAACAGCTACTTCCCTTATCTTACCTGACCTTTTCTTCCTGATTGTTATCTCGTTAACGACCACTTTACTTCAGTGTTTGAGTTTTCACCCATCTTGCTTTGTGTTTTATCCTTCACTACTTTTGGTTCATGTCAACTCTAAAATCGGCTTCTGGAATATTTTACACTAATTATAATAATAATAAGACTCTGGTTAATCCCACTCTTGCCCAACTCCACTGGCTTCCCATCACACAGAGGATACAGTTCAGCATCCTAGTCCTATCTTCAAAGCCCTCCATGGTCTTGCTTCCCCCTACCTCTCCAATCTCCTAACCCCCTACCACCCTGTTCGCTCCGTCCGTCCAGCGGGCTCCGGACTGCTTCACATCCCCCGCCTTGCTCGCCCCACTATCAGTGGGTAGGCCTTCCGCCACTCTGAACCCACCCTCTGGAACTCCATCCCGCAATCCCTCCGTCTCGCCCTGGCCCACGCCAACTTCAAGACCCACCTCAAGACCCTCCTCTTCAACCGTGCTTTCGAGCTCCCTGCTTCCACCCCTGCCCTCCCTTCCTCCCCCACCCTGAACCTCAGCTCGGGTCCATAACTCTTGTCTGTCTTGGGACATCCTCCTGATGTGAAAGGCGCTATACAAATGTAATTTTGTTGTTGTTGTTTATTACCAGCAGAATGCAGATGTTTATTGGTTTATTACCAGCAGAATGGGAGTGTTTACTGGTTTATTACCAGCAGAATGGGGAAATGTAATCGTTTATTACCAGCAGAATGGGGGTGTACAATGGTTTATTATCAGTAGAATGGGGATGTGTATAATGGTTAACTGTAATGTTAGAATAAACTATAACTAATATTTGCAGCCATCAACATGGAATACTTTGCCTTTTTCATTCATTTCACATTTTCTCATTTGGAAGGGCAGACCAGTCAATGGGGGCAGGGAATCTCCCACTCAGCTACTGTTAACCAAGCAAGCCAAAGCCCTAGTGGGTAGCATGATCCTAGGTTGATAAGAGGTGGGAAAGCTTGCCAGACATTTCATAGCAAGTTACGCAGTTTTAGCTGGTTGTATTCTGACAGTGATTCCTAAACATTAGCTTTCTGCCAACCTGCAGAATTCGGTAAGCAGGATGCATCCCTCTATGGAGTGTGCATTCCATTCCAACTTGGAAATTTCCATATGTAGGTGAGAATGCATGGAACTCCCAGTTCGGTTTGGTTATGGGTTTCCATGTGTGTCTGACCCAAAAAATTACTGTAAGGATCTTGGAGAAGTTTGACCTGATTGGCATTATTTTAAACACAATGATTTATTATTGTTATGATTTTCATAAGGTTGTGATCACCCACTGTAAATTTCACCCCATTGAATCCTGCAGTGTAGTGGTTAGAACACTTGCCTCACAAATGAGAGGACCCGGGTTCATTACTCTACGTACCCCTGTTTACCTAGCAGTAAGTAGAAACTTGGTTGTTAATCGATTGGTTGACCGCTTTCCAGGAGTAATATTCCCTTAAAAATATATTGTCATGCACGACTGTTTGAAGGACACTGCTGTGCACAGTTGCTTGCCATGTTTCGCCCACAATATATATAGTCAATTTACTTTACAATATGCTCTGTGAAGCTCTTTGATACATGACGTGATAAGGCTCAAAAATAAATGCAAGGATTATTATTATTATTATTATTAAAAGGTTACTTTGCAGTTAGATGTTTGTCACTTTCATTAGAAGTGCATGTGAAGCTCAATATGGATAATCTAAAAGTTCCAGATGTTAGTCTGGCTTCAGTCAGTTACTTCCTTGCCTCTGGGATGTGGGTTCAAGATGCACGTCAGGACTTCGAGCTTGCAGTCCAGGCTACTCACAGTCCAGTTTCCAGAGCGTTGCTTTGTCAGGCACCAAGCTATTAAGCTAAAGTCCCTTCTGTGCTGGTCAGACAGATGTTAAAGATCCTACAGGAGTATTGGAAAAATAATACAGCAATTACATTTATATAGCCCCATTGTAGGTAAAAATGTAGCAGGAAATTTGCACACAGCAATATCCCACAAATTTTCATGACCAATTTTATTTGGGGTTAACAACCAATTTCATTTGAGTATTGGAGGTCAGGACACCGGAAAAGAGGAAAAAAACCTTTCTCTTTTCGAACAATGTCATTGGATCTTGGCATCCACCTGATCAGGCCTGGTGTATGATTTAATCTGAAGGACAGCACCTCTGACATTGAAGCACATCCCCAGCAACAAAATAAGAGTTTCTCCCAGCACCCTGGCCAAAATCAACACTTCACTAATCGCTCGCACATTTATCTCATAACTGTTTGTTGGAAGTGGCTGCTGACAAAACTGACTCTGACAAACACTGTCAAAGCATTTTAAACTGTTTTGACTTGATCGTGTATTGTAAAAATGCAAGGATTAAGGCAAATTGTTCAAACAGCAATTCCCAAAGGAAACTCTCATGTATTGCTTATTTGGGGTAAATGACCAATCTTTCTTTTCTCCCATCAGCACCTAAAGTGGATGATTCTGAGTATCACCATCGCCCTCATTGTAACATTCTGTTTACTCGTGCTGAGTTCATTCAGAAACACAGCAGAAGATATCGCAAGTTCCATCGAGACACACGGCAACACAATCAGCTTGTAGCATAAATGTTTCTTCAGAGCAGAGAGAGTTTCTGGGATCCATCACATATACTGTTTGAGAAAAGGGGTTTTTGCAAAATCTCAGCACAGTACCAGTGATCTATATCAGGAGGGATACCATATATATGTGCCAAATGTCAAGAGTCTCACAATGTTGGGGCACCTGAAGAAACATCAGCAATCACACACAGGAGAGAGACCATATAAATGTGTTGAATGTGGAAAGAGTTTCACAACATCAGGGTACCTCAAGGTACACCAGCGATCGCACACAGGAGAGAGACCGTATAAATGTGCCGAATGTGGAAAGAGTTTCACAACGTCAGGGGACCTCCAGAGACACCAGCGATCGCATACAGGGGAGAGACCTTATAAATGTACTGAATGTGGAAAGAGTTTCACACAGTCAGGGGAGCTCAAAGTTCACCAGCGCTCACACACTGGAGAGAGACCGTATAAATGTATTGAATGTGGAAAGAGTTTCACACGTTCAGGGCATCTCCAGATTCACCACCGATCGCACACAGGAGAGAGACCATATAGATGTGTCGAATGTGGAAAAAGTTTCACTACATCATGGGAACTCAAGGTTCACCAGCGATCACACACAGGAGAGATACCGTATCAATGTGCTGAATGTGGAAAAAGCTTCAAAACGTGCGGGGAGCTCCAGGTTCACCAGCGATCGCACACAGGAGAGAGACCGTATAAATGTGCTGAATGTGGAAAGAGTTTCACATCTTCAGGGGTGCTCCAGAGACACCAACGATCACATACAGGAGAGAGACCGTACAAATGTGCCGATTGTGGAAAGAGATTCACAACATCGGGTGTGCTCCAGAGACACCAGCGATCACACACAGGAGAAAGACCATATAAATGTGCTGAATGTGGTAAGTGTTTCACAACATCAGGGTATCTCCAAGGTCATCAGCGATTACACACAGGAGAGAGACCGTATAAATGTGCCGAATGTGGAAAGAGTTTCACATACTCGGGGAACTTCCAGAGACACCAACGATCACATACAGGAGAGAGACCATATAAATGTGCCGATTGTGGAATAAGTTTTACACAGTCAGGGCACCTCCACGTTCACCAGCGATCGCACACAGGAGAGAGACCGTATAAATGTGCCGAATGCGGAAAAAGTTTTACACGCTCAGGGCATCTCAAGATTCACGTGCGATCACACACTGGAGAGAGACCGTATAAATGTGTTGAATGTGGGAAGAGTTTCACAACATCAGGGGACCTCCAGGTACACCACCGATCGCACACAGGGGAGCGACCGTACCAATGTGTCGAATGCGGAAAGAGTTTCACAACATCATGGGAACGCCAAATTCACCAGCGATCACACACAGGAGAGAAACCGTACCAATGTGTCGAATGTGGTAAGAGTTTCACAACATCAGGGGAGCTCAAGGTACACCAACGATCACATACAGGAGAGAGACCGTACAAATGTTTTGAATGTGGAAAGAGTTTCACATCTTCAGGGGTCTTCCTGAGACACCAGCGATCACACACAGGAGAGAGACCATATAAATGTGCTGAATGTGGAAAAAGCTTTACAACTTCGGGGTATCTCCACGTTCACCAGAGATCACACACAGGAGAAAAACCGTATAAATGTGCTGAATGTGGAAAGAGTTTCACCACGTCAGGTTATCTCCACGTTCACCAGCGATCGCACACGGGAGAGAGACCGTATCAATGTGCTGAATGTGGAAAGAGTTTTAGATATTCGGGGAACCTCCAGAGACACCAGCGAACTCACACACAGGAGAGAGACCATATAAAGGTTCCCAATGTGGGAAAGCTTTCCATGAGCTGGTACTGTTCAAACCCCACCTGAGAAGGTGCTTCGAGAAGTGAAGCAAACAATAGTAATATTTTGTTATCTAAGTACAGCTATCTGCTTGATCCAACACCAGTGACTCACAATTAAGACACCAGTGCGACAGTTTGTCCCCTTGTCTCCTGTGCTGGGGTACCACCATCTCCTGCAGTACCTCACTCGCACATGGCTGTTGTGCATATGTGAGGCTTTCCCTAGGATGTGTGTCTGCTGGAGAGTATAGCAGAATTGCACAGTGAGAAATGAGAGTCTGTGAAGAAGATAATTTTACACTTCCATAATTTTCTCCTGGTGTCAGGGCCAGATTAAGGGATCTGGGGGCCCTAAGCAAAACGTGAGCCCCTTTGAACAATGCCCTCAAATACCTTTTTGAAATATTTTCCAGTGTAACTTCATAGTTGCAAACATGTCAACCACATGATCAAAACTTAGTGTAGGTGTCAAATTGTGCTCAATAGACATAATTGTGAGTGCATTCAATCTATTCTGGATTATTGTAGATCTGAGCGCGTTATTGATGACTCACCTTTGTGATTGAGCATTCACTTTCACAAACCCTTACTGATTTTGTTAATATATAACATATACAGGTATAAATATAGATAGCACAGAAGAAACAATGAGATGCGGATTCACCGAAGCCTCACAGTGAACTGTGTGCTGCTCAAAGGATAGGTAATTGATGTAACTGATTTATAAGTCACTGGTTAGGCTTTAGCTAGAGTACTGTGTTCAGTTTTGGGCACCACACTTTAGGAAGGATGTCAAGGCGTTGGAGAGGGTGCAAAGGAGATTTACCAGGGTACCAGGAATGAGGGACTTCAGTTATCAGGAGAAGCCCTTACTGCTAGAATTATTCTCCTTGGAGCAGAGAAGTTTAAGAGGAAGACTTAATAGAAATTTTCAAAGTTATGAGGGGTTTCGATAGGATGAACTTGGAGAAACCACTTGCACTGGTGGATGAGTCAGTAACCCGAGGACACCAATTTAAAATAGTTGTTAAAAGAAACGAGGGAGGAGAAATGTTTTCACACAGTGAGTTGTTGGGATCTGGAATGCTTGCCTGAAAGGCTGGAGGAAGCCGATTTGATAACAACTTTTAAGGGAGAAGTAGATAAATATTTGGGGAGGATAAGTTTGTAGGGCTATCAGGAGAGCGCAGGGGAGTGGGATTGAATTGGATAGCTCTTTACGAAGAACTGGCACAGACCTGATGGGCTGAATGGCCTCCTTCTGTGCTGTATAATTCTATGATAACTGTTATTCTCTGTCCAAGTGTTGCTAAATTACCGTGTCTAATGACAGTATTAGTATCATTTCTGTTGACGTTGACATGTCATAGTCTTCACCCCTGCGGATCTGAACTCCTCCACCTGCCTGAGCTCTCCCTCAAACTCACCGAACCAGCGCACAATCTAGGTGTCCGATTTGACCGGCAGCTGTCCTTCCTCCCCCAAATCCAATCCCTGACCAGGACCGCCTTCCTCTACCACCAACACATTGACCGCCTCTGACCATACCTTACCCCAAATACAGCTAAAACCCTCGTGCATGCGTTTGTCATCTCCCGCCTGGATTACCCAAACAACCTCCTTGCTGGTCTCACCAGCTCCACTATTTAAAAAATCCAGCTCATTCAGAAGTTTACTGCCTGATGATTTTCCCGGACCAAACTCTGGGTCACCAGTTCTGGCCCTGGCTCCCCAGCACCAAATGGATCCACTTCAAGATCCTCACGCTCGTGTTCAAATCTATTCACTATCCGGCTCCTCCCGACCTCTACAACCTCTTCACTCCCCAATCTACTATCCGCTCCACTGTTCGACTAGCATCAGCCTCCTGCTTGTCCCTCGCACCCTCCATTCCACCATTGGAGGTCACGCTTTCAGCCACTACGCCCCAAAACTGTAGAACCCTCTCCCTCAATCCCTCCGCCTTGCCCCCCTCTCTCCCCTTTGTCAAGCCCCGCCTAAAAAGCTTCCTTTTCGACCGCGCTTATGGTCACCTCATGCACCCCCAGCTTGGTGTGAGGCTCTGCCACTGTTTAGCTCTCTGAGATGCTACCCTGCGTGGAGAGCACTATATAAGTGCAAGTTGTTGTTGTTGTTGTACCTTGGTCGCTACCCGCATTATGTCTTGTGATAATTTATTATTCTGTATAACCATTTGCTGTTGAACTATAATAAAGGAAACAATTGTTTAACAACTAAAATTGTGTGGACACTGTTTTATTAACTGTCCAGAAGATTTGACTAACAATTAAATCAGTAAAATTTCATGACACAGAACAAAAAGAGACCTCAAATATGCCATCAGGAGCATTGAGGATGAAGGTGAACACACAATAACAACAACAAATTTCATTTGTACGGTGCCTTTCAATGGGAGGACGTCCCAAGGCGGTGCACAATCAGGGATTTGGACCCAAGCTGGGGGTTGGGATCAAATGCGGCAAGGCGAGTTGCTATGGAGTGCAGAGGAGCAGGACCAGGGAGAGTCGACTAACCTTACCCTCAGCCGAGGCTGCGAGTGGGTGTATTGGACCTGCACACTCTGACTTATTTTTATTTATATAATTACACACTCATTGTAATTACCATCTGCACCGGTATTTACACACTCATTGTAATTACCATCTGCACCATAATTTACACAATTACGCAGGTTGGTAGGGAGTCAGCAGGTCAGAGAGGTAGGAGGGGGCAAAGGCATAGATGGCCTTAAAAGTGAGGACGAGGATCTTGAACTCGATCCTCTGGAGGATGGAGAGCCAGTGGAGTCGGGTGAGGGTGATGGGGTCACGGAACCTGGTGCGTGAGAGTACATGAGCTGCAGAGTTTTGGATGATCTGCAGCTTGTGAAGGGAAGAGTTGGGAAGGCTGATACGGAGGGAGTTCCCGTAATCAAGCTTTGAGGTGACAAATGTGTGGGTGAGAGTTTCGGCAGCCTGAGGGGTGAGGCAGTGGCGGAGTCTGGCAATGTTGTGGAGTGGTGGTAGGCAGGTTCCTGACTGGCTTAGTAAGGTTGAGTGTGCAGCCATGGAGGCTGATGCTGCCAGCATCTGAAGTGCGGAGGCACTGGTGCGAACCAATCAGGAGGGCCTCGGTCTTGCTGACGTTGAGTTGGAGAATATTGGCCCTCATCCAGGACTTCTTGACGGACAGGTAGTCAGTCAGGACCCCACTAGTCCTGGAGTTGAGGGTGGAGGCAGAGAGGAGGAGTTGGGTGTCATCCGCATACATGTAAAAATTTACCCCAGGTCTGCGGATGATGTCACCAAGGGGGAGCATGTGATGATACTGACTGTTTCCAGCTGTGAAGGGAGGACGTTCCCTTCAACTGGACCTTGTGAGGAATGTGATTCGCTCATTGGCCACATGTCAAACCTGAACCTTTGGGTATTTAACCCAGAGGCTGAGCTCAGTCAAACCATTGGAGGAAGGAGTCACCTCATCAGCTTAGAGAGCGCACATGTGCTGCTGGAGACTTGTGGTTCAGAGCAGTGAAATGGTCAATTTGTGTGTGGTGGAGCTTGGCTCAGGCTGGTCTCTCTATGGATTATATCAGTTAAGTCTGTATTTGTGAGAAGCTTCTGGTAGGCTGTAAATTGTCAGTAATGCTTGTGAAGGGAAGGTGTCCAAACCTTGGGTGTTGTCAGTCCTGTGAGCTTTGGAGACATTAATACTGTCTACCTGCTCTCCAGGTCAATTGTGAGCAACTCTTGGCCAGTTTGGCTTCTCTTTTTATTGTGTAATTTGTCTCAAAAATAATTGCTGTTTTGTTTCTATCTGAAGTCTGTAGACAACTCCCACCAGAGTCTTCCCTCTTTTGCTGTTCCTTAATTCTACCCATAGTGTTTCTGTGGCCTGATCACCTTTACAAAAGTTCTTTCTATCTACTATTGTACTTGAAAGTTATCCATATTGCTCCCCTCCTTTCCCAATTTCCCTATCCTTTCTGAAGATCTTACAACCTGGAATATTTAGCTCCCAGTTATGCCCAGTTTGCAGCCAGGTCTCTATAATGGTTACTACATCAAATGCTTCAAGCTAAATTTGTGTTCCTAACTTGTTTTATTTTTATACTATGTGTATTTGTCAGACACTTATTAGGGTAACTGTCCTCACCCATATGCCCAATAGTGTTTTTCTTGCTTTTCTGTGTTTATTTTCTTAAACTGGTTCTCTTTCTGGGGAAACTCAGTTAGCTATCATTTTTGGTTTTCTAACCTTTGCTCTTTCAATATTTAGTTCTGTTGTTTCCGCTTCAGTCAGAGGTTGTCCTGGAGCCATTGCAGGTTTGTGTTGCTTTTGAACGCTGGTCTAATGCTTGTTCATACCAGATGATCATTAGGTATTTGTACATCAATAAACTTTGGAGACCTTGTTGACATCCATCTTGGTTTAATGTGAACATCTATTGACATGTCTGACTTTTCTTTGTATTGTGTAACTCATCTCAGAGATGGTGATGACAGAATCACTCTATGGAATTATTATTTTGCAGTTTTAGTCTTTAAACCATCATCTAGATTTTGGTCAAAGACGTCCATCTAGGAATTGTTTCGAGATGAGATGCAGCTGAAAATTGTGGGAGATGTAAGTGATTAATGGGCTGAGCTCAGTTGTTCGGTGGAGTCCTGTAGCTCAGTGGTTAGAGCACTCGCCTTGCAAGTGAGACACTTGGGTTCAATTTCAGTTTCTTTACTCCACACGCCTAATAATAATCCCTCCAAAACAATAATAAATTGATCATTTTCAATCCACGACTGTTTGTGGGACGCTGCTGTGTGCAATTGGCTGCTGCGCTTCGCCCACAAATATATGGTCAATTCACTTTACAGTCTATTTTGTGAAGCGCTTTGAGATGTCAAAGACGTGAAAAGCGCTATATCAAATGCAAGGACTATTGTTACTATTGTCACCTGAAACTAAGTCTGTACTAACGGGAACCAAACGCTGATGACTAAAGCTCACGCCCTGTTTCTCTCTTTAGCACCTTGGGATTTGTGGAGGATAAGTAAGGTAAGTCTGTACTAATGGGAACACTATGATGACGGTAAAGGTTGTATATCCTTCTTTCTTACACTTTCCACACTCCAGAGGTTCAGCAACACTACGTGGACTTCATGCAGGATGTCTGATATCCAAACACATATGAGCATTAACTTTGGCTCACACTGGAGGTTGAGATTAGAAGTCGTTAGTAATGGAGACTGGGATTTGAGAGGGACAGGATGGAGGAGATGTTGCTGGATTAATGTGTTGAGCTCACAGTTTGGGTCGAGGGTTTAATTCATCGACCCAGATTGTAGGAATAGCAGAGATTGAGGTTAGACACTATTAAATGGTGTAAGATCAGATTTGATCTATCTATTATAATCTTCTGAAGAGACAGTAAATTTGCTTAATCTTGGGTAATATAGAGTAGCTGAAGGTTGGTTTTGTTTGCCCTGAGCCAGTGTCTGTCCAAATTAGTTCAGTTTACTAGTTGAGAGTCAGTTTATGCCAGGGATGGTTTGGAGCTACTGTTGATCATTAGTTTGTGTCCAAGTTGGTTCAGTGCAGGTTGTGAGGTAGTAAAGGGCTAATCAAAATAGGGTGAATGTTTGAGATCATAGAGAGAGGTCTCAGGTGCTCAGGATTAATTGGGTAAAAACGTGTCTTGGGCACATTTGAAGTATAAAAGGGAGGAGATGGAGATGAACCAGAGTTGCTGAGGTTTAGAGTTTTCACTGACACTT